GTTATGTCAAACTTTACAACTTTGGCTGGGGTGCGGGGGGGGGGAGAAGTAAGGGGTTGGGAGATGGGAAGGGATGGGAAGGGGAAACAAAGGAGGAGGCAACAATGCTTGATAAGAAATGTACTCCCTATCTTGCCTATGTAATTATAACCCCTCTATATGGTATTTTCCCAAAAAATTTGATTAATCATTTTGATTACTTCAATTTCTGCCTTAAGGTTCTTAAATTAAATCTACATGTTCTTGCCAGAGTAAACTTAATCTCCTATTAATACATTATGTGTTCATAAACTGCTGATAAGTTTGCTAATATTCTGTAAATTATTCTTGTTAATTTTCATAAAAATGAAGCTGGAGTATAATTGCACTTTCTTTTGTGCTTGTTGAGTTTCAGTATCAAGACACCTCAGATGTTATTATTGCATTGAAATATGAACACATTAGTCTCAATAAACCTACACAAGTGTGTAATTACTATTTTATTGAATGTCTTTAGTATTTAATATAATTTAATAGTAAGGCATTGCTGTCTGAATTTTTTCACATATGGATTAAAAATTTTAATTAACAATTCAGCCTGCTGTTTTTTTCCAGTTTGAGTCAATTTGAATTAGTTCTGTTTTTAAAAATATTCTTCAGCTTACCTAAATTATCAATTATTACATACTAGTACTGATAATTACTTATATTCCTAACAATAGCTTTAAAAGATGTATTTGTATTGCTTTTGACCATCCCTATTTGGCAATTTGGATTTTGTACTTTCACTTTATTTTTAGATGATAAAAGGTAACAAAATCAGTTTAAGAAAACAAGTATTTATCTATTTTCTCTTTCGTTGTATGTTGTCTTTCTGTTTAACTTCTGTTATTAATTTTATAATTACTTTGCCTTTAATATGTGATTATATTAGTATTCTTTTTAATTGAAATAAAAACACATCTTATCGTTAATATTTCTTTATATACAAATTAGTTTATAAATTGCTGAGTTTTGTATCTAGAATTTGTCTCATTAAATTTCCATCTACTCTCTCTCGCTCATTCACTCACTCACTTTCTCTCTGTCTATGTTGGATGTTCATGAGCCTCTTGCTTTACTTCATTTTTCACATTCACTCAAATGATATGCATAATGCTTATAGTGTATATCCATCTGTTCTTGTTATGTATGGTGACAGCCTCAGGGCCCCCAGGTTCAGCCTGGGATGCATAGAAACTCTACATTTTAAGCCTCAGAAACTCAGGAACTGAAGAGGTGGAGCCTTCATTCCCTTTTTAATAAAGTAGTTTATTGACTGCGTTGATTATCATATATCTATGTACTAAAACTAAAGTGTTGCTTAGTATTTCCATTGGCTTTCCTTGGTGTCTTGGCTTCTTTGAGCTGGGAATACTTATCATAATAATTGATAGAACTAATTAAAGTTTTGATCATTTATTTGCATATTCATTTTTTTGGGGGGTCCGGTCGGGGGGCCTGAACTCTGGGCCTGGGTTCTGTCCCTTAGCTCTTCAGCTCAAGGCTAGCGCTCTACGACTTGAGCCACAGCGCCACTTCTGGCTTTTTTCTTTTTGCTTATGTGGTGCTGAGGAATCGAACCCAGGGCCTCATGCATGCAAGGCAAGCGCTCTACCACTGAGCCATCTTCCCAGCCCCTGCATATTCATTTTACCTTGATACAGTATTAGTTTTCTCATCTTAGAGGTTTGATTATCTTGCAATATGAGACTTCCTAGAGCTCTATGGCTGCGTATCTGTGCAAAGCCTGATTACTTCCCATTTCCCTTTGCTGAAGATATATGCGAAATGTGGTGTGTCATTCAAATTTTTCACAGTACATTCACCTAGCTTTTTTTTTATTATTATTTTGGCTCGGTTATAGAAAAACAACACAAAATCTACAGTTTGTACCAGTGCCCTATGATAGTGAGACACTTTTCTGACTTGTCAAGTTCTGTTGTCACAAGTAATACCTCAGTGCTAAGTGTATTTTCTGTGTTTTCCTATTGACTGGTAATGCAATTCCTTATTTTCTGTAAGTCAAATATAGTTAAAATATCCTTAACATTTCATCATTTCTTCCAATTGTGCTCACTATGGGATTAATTAAAATAACCAAAGCTGATATTGTTGGACAGGAACCAACCCCCAAGTAAATTTCATGTATATGAGTGGGATATTACATGTTAGGTAGTGGTTAGCCAAGGAAATTCCAGGAAGTGTTTGGTACATGGCTGACAACATATCACTTTTGAAGGGTACAAACAACCAGATACAAATCTATCATACTGTCACATCTATCATACTGTTACATCTATCATACTGTCTGGTTATAGAAAGCCACATATAAGGGCTCCAGCTCAGATCAGTTTGAGTGACCAAGAATTACCTTTGTATTATTAACATGTCACTTTAATCTGGTTGTAATTAGATCTTCTTCCTCCTTCAGTCCTTGTGTGTTTTACTTGGGTAGTTGTGGGTAGATGCTTGCCCAGAATAGTTCTGAAGTCATAATTCTTCCATAGCTTTAATGTCAATAACTCTTTGTGCCTATTCCAGCAAGGTCTCCTGGCCCCCCTGCATGTCAATAGAAGCCTGTGCTATGGCAAAAGGGTTGATAGTTTTGACTTCTTTTTCTGAGTTGACTTACTTTCACCCCTGAAAGTGCCTTTCTAGCCTAATAGCCTTCACTATTCATAATAAATGGTGCTTTTTACTACTCTGAAGCAAAGGGACATTGTGTTTTCCAGAAATTGTGGCCACCAGAAACCTTCCTTCTAAGTACTTCTGCCAATATATCAATACCTAAATCCATGCCTTTTAATATTGTCCTAAATCTATGACTTGTAACATCTTTTGGGTATGGCTTATGTAAAGTAAAATGTACCATTATTAGCTGCTGAAAACTGCATAAGGCTGTATGAGTCAAGCACCTATCCTGATACAGACATTTCCATCCACCCAGTTCTCAGGTCAGACATCAATCCTGCTTTACACAGCAATCTACTATTCTCATAGGTTTTCACTATAGTTTAGTTAAAAAAATCCACACAACTGAGATAATAGCATGTATCTTTTCTTGTTGTTTCTAGTCCTGGGGCTTGAACT